TATTTCTGAGTTGAATGTTAGTGAAGGCTAGAAAGTTGTATGGGGCAATGAAATCCCTAGAGGGGGCCTTTAAATACAAAGTGAATATGACAATTCTGAGACACGAAGTTTGTCATGGAGGGGGATTCCCTACACTATATTCCCTGTACTAGTGTAAGGACATGTGAAGTGGCCTTGTGACTTAAAGGTCTCCGATTTGAATTTCTGGATGGGCCGTGAATATTTAGGTAGCGTTAAAAGTAGTCATCTCCTTCAATACCAACAGTAAATGTGATGATGAATAATGTACTTGACACCCAGTTTTACAATAAAGTTCTCTTACTGGTATGGCTGTACTTGGCAGGTTCCAAATGATAACTTCACCAAAACTTTAACAAAAGTAGCTGTGAAACCAGTCACCAATTCACACCATACAAGGACCTGCACCGATATTCTTTCAATTTTTTATTTCAGGCATTACCCTAGATCTAAAGTGACACTACACGGGAATACAAATTCAAATAAATTCTTCAATGACAATTTCAAAGAAGTTATTTTGAGAAAACTCCTATTTCACATGTTATTCTCATACAGACAGCTTTGATTCGTAAGAAACACTTATTTTTAAGCTGTATTAAGCCTGAAACTTATCACTGACATGATGATAAAACACCCTGCTGCACATGTGCCTTGCCAATTGTCTAAAATCGCAAATAAGGTTGGTTTCAAAGAAGGGACGCAAACGTTAAGTTCTTTGAAACCAGGCCAATTAAACCTTACGCAACTGTTTATTCACATTAGTCATAGTGTTTTACATTTACTATCAAGTGAACAAAAAAGACAGAATCGAGTTTGGCCACTGAACATGAATATGTTCACTGAAAGCAGGTTTCTAATGCTCTCTCTCTCTGACAGCGTATGGTGAGTGAGGCATCTACCACCTTTCCCCTGCCCTTTAATTCATTTCTAAGTTAAAGCCTGTGTATCATTATTCGCTTGAGCTCCACTCGCCCGACACCGCCAGAGCACCCAAGCCCCATCAACTTGAGGGGCGGGGGGCATGGCGGTGGTGTTGAGGTGGGGGATTCTTGGCAGAAATTCCCCACAAATTTTATGCCAAGAGCGAAATGGAAACCTCCTCTCATTTTCCTTTTTCCCTTAAACCAATGTTTTCAAGCCGCAGCCCCACCAAGGTCATTATAATCATAGCAAGTGGAAGGGAGCCAGTGACCCGCCATTACAGTAAGGTAAAGAGCCACCCAGTCAGTCAGCTATTGGCTGACGAAGAGGAGCAGAAATCTGTCTCCAAATGTTAAAAATCTCTCCATTTCAAATGTAGATAACCAGGGGAGAGAGCAGCATAACACAAGAGCTCCTCCCGATACACTTACGATTGTGCTCTTTATGATATGGACACACACTCAAGTCTATATTTTAACATACTCACTCACTTGCTTTAAAAGGCTTCCAGGACAAAGATGACGACTGGTTGAGATCTAACAATACTATTGCCTATAAGTTTAGCATAGAATATTTTTTGAATCACAAAGTCACATACGCAAAATATTAGACCTTAGAAGCATTTTTCGTTAACCGTAACTTTTAAGAATAAGTAATAAGGCAGCAAAATTACACAAACAATAACACACTGCAAGGTCACTAAGAATGGCAGTTTTCATTGTGGCACCAAAGGTCATGTTTACTTGTCAGGTTGAAGGCACCATACTGTACTGTGACCTCCATAGCCGGCTTATGTACCCACAGACAAACACACACAGACACAAATACACAAAGGTTGCGTGTTCACTTTCACATGTGCGTGCCGTGCACACACACTTAAAGAATAGTCTCCTCTCACAAGCTGTGCCACAGACAATAGGACAGTGCACGCTGGGCTACACAACCCATATATCTGGGTCTGTGCTAAGATAAAGCACCTCCAGCATTAAAGCCAGTGTATTAGCTTGCCCTTTTTCCACCACAGATGAAGAGATTTGAAGCTCGATATTGTGCTTGTTGGCTGGCACACCACCAGGGTGTTGTTGGCTGAATAATGAAAACACACAGACTGACAGCGAATGGCATGAGGTGACAGTTCCATTCTAGAGTGGGAAGATCCAAAACAAAGCGCAAAAAGCTTCTGACAAATTCATACTTTTCTGTGACAGTTTGTTGACTGAGGAGGGAAACAACTCCTAAATCAGAAAAGCTTTTCATTTAAACCCAGGAACACGGGCACAGCAGTGCTCCAGTACACAGCCTCCCCTACACAGGAGTACATGATTTCAGATACGTGGGTGAAGAGTATTTTTGTTGTAGACCAATTACAAAGCAGCTTAATTGAAAGGTTGGCATGGGCTAATTTTGGTCTTCTTGGCCAAAGGACGGAAAATATTGGACTTCATGTTAGACAGATCCCGACTATATAATGATGACGCTGTGTGAAATACAGTTTTCACACCTAAACTGTGTGCCTTTTTGAAACACAAGGTGTCTAAACTCACAAAAGCTTCAGTAAACACAAACTCAAAAGCATTTTAGTTGTTGGTTCTTACAATTATTCTGTCCACCATTTTTCTAATTTTATGCTACAGTCATTTAAAAAAACAAAAACAGAATCAGACATGTTTAGCCTGTTAATTATTTTACATTTGAAACTATCAAAGCCTGTCCTTAGACATTTTAATCATTACAAAGCAGGGCTTGTGTTAAAACAAAATCATGGTGAAAATTCAACTCCAGGGTACATTGGGATGTTGAAACGCACCATCTTTTCCGGTTGACCCTCCTCTAGGTAGGCAACTACAGCAGGTACTAAACATGATTTTGTGTCTGATTATCAAAAACATAAAAATCTTTTAAAATTTTGCTACATTTGGAGACTACTGACTCATATCACACAAATATTCAGAAACTATTAATATACATTTGTCCCTGTTAACAGGGTGACATGTCATAAAATTCTACACGAGCCATTCAAATTAAGCATAACTGGACACGTTTTCTTTTCTTTGGAAGGAAAATGTACAACTTCTAAAAGTATCAATGAGCCATACTGTACTCCATACTGTATTCCTAATCTAATCAGCAAACAAACACCATGGAAACATTTATATAGACGTAATTTCAAATAAAGTAGATGGATATCACTAACGAAGATGGGAAAATCAGTAAAAGGCAACCTGTTTCAGGAGAACAAACTACTGCATGTATTTCATGATTACAATGTACACTAAACACACATCATAAGACAGATTTTGGTGAACGATGAGGAAAAAACATTCACTGGACAAGTTCCCTAAAAGAAGCATCTGTATGCCGAGTGTAACGTTAGTGGCAAAAAAAAAAAGGTGCAATTTGTTACGTTCATTTTATATCATGACCCTGTTTCTGTGCAGTCCACCCATGTGGCTTACATAGTCCTTGTGCAGCATATCAGGAAGGTATTCACTGTCCAAACATCTCCCTGTCCCTCAGTCACATATACACAGAGATACACTCACCACCGTCACCTAGTCTCCACCTCCATGCCTCCCAGCCAACCACTGCAATTTCCCAAGTTCAACCCTAGGTCAAACACCTGAGCAGTAGATCAGTGAATATCACCACTTAAAAAAAGAATAATAAAAAACGTGTGTGTGTGTGTGTATTGGATGAAGCTGCGGGAATCACTCTGCCATGTACATTTGATTTCATGTGTCAGAAATGTTAAACTGGGACAGGTGCGAGGGCTCATTCTGTCCTCGAACCCTGGGAATTTAAATGAAAACTACATGTCAGTAGACTGAGTAGAAGAGACAACTTGTGGTAGCCTTTTTGATCGTGGCTGTGTATGCCGAACAGCTGGCATGGTCTGACATTTAAGATATGAAGAAGACAGTGTCATGAGATAAATGAATCAAGCATTCCTCGATTTAAAGATGAATCACTCAATTATTCACTGTATTTGCATACCAATATGACTAATTGAGCTGTTTGCTTACGCATGTATTGAGCAGGATGATCGAGATAGAAAAAAAATGGAACTCTCTGATCATTCCTTTAATAGTCGCTGTCATTGCCCCACTACAAGAAGCAATCCTCTAGTGGCCGGAGTGTGTTATCGCATCTTTTTATTATCTGGACTGATAAAAGGCACAATACGAACATCCAAGATACGGAGGGTCAAATTTACAAAAGTAAAGCAGCATCCCACCAAAACACGGGATTTACAATAGGTACCTGCTGCGGCACGGCGTTATTTTAAGCAAGGTAGTAGAGCACAACTGTCGTTTCCCCTTTTCTAACCGCGTTATTGATCGTAGTCTGTCTGCAATGAATGGCTGCAAAGGGAACGGGGGAAAAACCCTGAACTTCAGGTGACCGTCCATGGCTCTGACATAGCCTGCATGCAGACTGGGAGGGGTAGAAAAAAAAAATACATTGGCTTGGGGGGGGGGGGGGAATCTCTCCACACTTTTTAAAGTCGACGACAAACAAGCGCGAACTAATTCGGTTCCGCGATTTGGAAGCAAAACTATGTGACGAAAGTTAGACGTTTATTGCCGAGGAAATGAAGTTTACCGAGCGTTGCTAGATAGCGCTATTGCTAACTAGGAACAGTAGGGTATGGGTAGCCAGACTCTGGCTTGTCTGATCCGACTGACCCTTCATTTTATTGCGGCCAGACTCCCAGATCCTCCCCTTTCTACCCGAAAAGCGACCAAGCAGAGGCGAACGCATTACCGAAAACGTTCGGCCGTTATTCCTCACACACAACCGACACATATGCCAACTGACCGCAACCTTTAGCGGAATCGGACCTTTATCGATTGTACTCTTAATAAAGCCACGTATCATTTATCCACTCACTGCCTAGCTAACGTTACCCATCGCCAACAACATGGCTGCCTCGCTCGGACCTAAAAAGGGAGAAATAACCTACGCCGAGTCTTTTGTCTGTTTCACCTCTTTAACCCTAAACTACTGCGCAAAACACACGGAGAGCCGTTAAAATTGAACAAATCGAGTGAACGACTTACGTGAAGGCAGGCGCTTGGGTTGCTCCTGCTTCCTCCTTGGCATTTTCCCCCGTTTTTAATCACATTCTCGTCCTTGTTTAGGGATAAGAAGAAAAAAGGTTTTTCCCATTGAGACTGGAGGCGCCAGTGATGGCAGGGACTTGGTCGTGCACCTGGCTTTGCTCGGTTTAAAGTGTATTGTTGGGGAATGGGAACACAGGCGGAGGAGGTGCCGCTGTTGTTGTTGCCGTGTCTTGACTATGGCTGCTCTCGGTGCAAGTGTGTCTCCGAGCCCCTAACTAACACTAATGCAGGGATCAAAGGGCAGCAACAGCAGAGCAGACACACGCGCGCACGCATGCACACACACACTCACTCTCTCTATCACACACACACACGTTCACACACTCGCGCACACACTCAAACACGTTGTTGCGCGCACGCACACATTCGTGGAGCTCGCCCCCGAGAGCAGCGTATGGACAAGGTGCCCCCAAGCTTTCAGGGTGTATAGCTGAAAAGAAAATGTATTTGAAAACGCAAAGAGGGTATACTTCGGCAGAGAGATCATATTGATGGAGTCGAATTGCGTTAACGGAATCTGTTTAATATCATTCACACATAATTTAACAGAGAGTGACGATAATAATTTATGCGAATGATGCAAACGTGAATGTACATTTCAGTTTAGACGCTATGAAATACATTAAGCAGAAGCATGTTGGACATTAATTTAGCTTGCTTTAGCAAAAAAAGAGACAATTTACCACTAACCAAATTGTTATTGTAATTCAAAATAAGAATCCCAAATGCAGCATGGTAAAATTTACATTCTGATAATGAATATTAGTGGGCTAGTATTGCCTGGAGGACTTAGTTTACACACTGCTTTTGCAAATGTATACATTAAAAGTGTGCTGCTATTTAATTGTAACACAAATAGAGTTTTTAGTATGTTAGTGTCAATAGTATTATAGTACATCCAGTGTATTTATATACTCAAAAGAAGAAAACATTTCAGGCTTTTGGCTTATTATAGATACACTTCCCCCTGAAAAGTTGATACTGAGCTACCATTTCACCATGTCATATTTATAAACTATATAAAAGTTGCATGAAGAAGAAAAAAGAGAAGTAAAAGCTCCAAAGTGAAATATAGATTAGTTAATAACAATAAATATCATTTTCAAGCATCCTATATTTCAATTTGTTTTATTTCTGTCATCACCTCCTCCTACCCCCATTTCTCACATACTTAATACATGTCAGGCTTCTAATTTAAAAACTGCCTGCTGAGTTATACCTAGAATTTGTCTATTAAAAGAACAGTAGAAACGGGTACGTCGTGTGGGAACCAGTATTAAATCAGGTGGGGGCAATAAAAGGAGTCAGTGTCAGAAATATGTCCAACAATTATCCAACCCAGTGTAGTCATCTCCTCATCAAAGTTGAGAGACCAAAACTGGCCAGAGCTGAATCCTCCTCCCTCTCAGCTGGGTGTTGGGGGCTTTTTCACAGCGCAGGCTGTCCCCCACTCCCTGCTGTTGGACTCCTCCAGGCTGCGTTCTGTTGGCCTGCCGCGTTCTTTCACACCTCGGCCGTGTGTGAGGAGAGCTGTGTCTTCATCCCTCCATCCTTCCATCCTCCAGTCCTCCTCCTGCCATGCCTTCCACCCACCCCCAGTGGAGGCGCAGGAGGCTCGTTACCGTGGCAATTAGTGAAAAGCCCAAATTAGCCCTCTTGGCTGTCCACAGGTGACAAAGACACTTTGCATTTCTGCTAATTAGGAAACAGAACAACATGATTAAATGGGGCCTATCAGGAGGAGAAGTGGACAAAATATGTTCCCTAAATAGAAAAGAGTTATATATATTATTGCATCTCCTGCATGAAATGATTAAGACATCCCATTAGGTTTTTAATTTGTGGACAGGATAACGTTGGGTTGTGATACTGAATATTACAATGGTTTACAAAATAACATTTTAACAGACTTGTGTGTGTGTGTATATGTGTGTGTGTGTGTAGACAGCTGCTTTTTCTTACCTGCACCTGCAGTTGGACAGTCTATGGACAGGTGCTCTGACCAAAGAGTCAATGAGCTGCTATAACAAAAGGGTTAAATTATTTTTGGTTTCTGTAATTCTTGCACAATGTCAGTTGTGTCAACAATTTTTATATATTTTGTGGACAGCACAAAATATGCATGTGGAAAGACTCTAGACTCAAACTGCCTCAGGGAAAAAGTACTCATTTAAAGCACTACACACTATAGGTCTGCTTGTGAAACTAAATCATTGTAATGCAGCTGGTTTGGTCTGTACATCTTGAAGAAATCACAGATACATGTTTTTGTTCTGTGGGTTTCTAGATTTCTTTTATGATTTTTTTCAGATTTTTTTATGAATGATCCCAGTGAAGCTGAAATTCTTCTTTAAGCTTTTTCATACTGGATGGTTTAGTCGGTGCTAAATCTTGCTCTGTATATCCACCCTTTGCTTACTACACCACATTAGTGGTAATTAATGATAGCAAACTCCATGTAATATCAAACTCAATTTACCAGGCTGACTTATTCTAGACATAAATCAGTGTAGAAATGTAAAAGTTCTGCATCTGGTGCCATCATGTCCACTAAACATTTTCACTAACAAAAAAAAGTCATGTTAGCCTACCAATGTTTGTTTTGGTGGTGTTTTTGTTCACAGTTGAGTTTGGTCACCATGGGGAGGTCGCAGCCTGTTCTCTGACCCTGACAATGCCAGGCAGCTGAGGTAATGCTAGCAACAGGACTGTCTGCTGATAGTAGCCATGGCAACACTGACATGACCTCACTCAGGGTTGAACCTAAAGGTCATGCCTCATTGCTCCTGGTGTAAGTGCTCCAGGTCTCAAATTTCTGAGCTGGAATGCACACTATACACTATATATATACACACACACTAATGCAAAAAGGCTTTCACTGCATAGCCCTTAAATAAGGCGCAATAAGTGCTGTGCATTTGTGTCTGCTTTTCTAACTAAGTGGAGATGTAGAATATACTCATGTCAATTGGATTGGTTTTGTTTCACTTCCCAATAACTGGTGCAGGTTCCCTGCTTTGAAAACAGCTCATATTGTCAACCGGTATTATTACTACTTATTAAAATGGTTCCCTATAGTGGCACAACCGTTAGTAGGGGATAAATGAGTTTCAGGTGTTTTAGTGGAGGATGGAGCAGACTGGAGAGAGATGAACTAACTTATGTGCCTTGGGGGCAAACTGATCATCCTCCAGTTCCTCCTCCCTTTCTCTGCCTCTTTTTCTTCCTCTCCTCTATCCTCTCAGGCCCTGTCCTGTGCAGGCAAGGCTGGTTGGGCTAACGTTAGGCTCGGCCAGTCAGATGTTGCCCTGGGGTAAACAGAAACATCTGTCCCCTGCCCAGCCGTGACTGTCGCTGAGTGATAAATCCTGGGGTGGCTTGTGCCAGCGCTGTCCGGCGTGCCACCTGTCCCCCTCCTACACAATATCCCCAGCCCAACCCTTACACATACACACAAACACTTCACCCTATTTGCACTCGCCTGCCTTCATCCTGACAGTGTGACAGAAGCAGGTGGTTCACTCCCTTTTTGCCCTCTGGCCTTCTATGCTCTCGTCCTCAGTTGGCACATTTATGCAGGGAGAGAGAAGGGTTGTCGCCTCTAGCAAATACCGATGGAGAGATCCCTGTACCAGGTTATTCGACGGTGGTCCTAGGGAGCTCAAACGCTCAAAGCCGTTGTTTCCTCTAATCAGACATAGAGTCTGCAGCTCTAAGAACTAAGTTTGACAAAGGTCAACAAAATGCTCAGTGAAAAAAAAGAAAACACCAGAAAGTGCTGGAGATTCCCGAGAATGTGACTTAATGACAATGATTTTGACTTATTTGAGTTGATTTTTATGCTACAATCCCTCTGACCTTCTTGTATTCAATTGTTAGAGAAAAGCAATGCCACATACTGTATACACCTATACTTTCTCTCTTTCTTTCATGTTGTACTCTCTTGCCACCACTTCCTCTCTCTACTACTTTTACATGTGACAGAGGCAGGTGGCCAACTTCCTGCCCTTTGACCTTCAACAGTTTCCCGGCAGTAAGGAGACAGTGCAAACACACACACACACACACACACACACACACACACACACACACGCAAACACACACAGAGGAGGAGCCTAGGTTGCTCTGGGTGAACTGGGGCAGAGGTCTTGTGAAAGGCCCTGGAGGGAAGTGAAGGTCCTTCGACTCAGGGACAAGAGTTATTTTAGCAGTGCCAAACCTGACAGGCTGAATGATCGTCCCCAAAGTGCCAACAGCGAGACAGCGAGATGTACAGTATAAAATGCAGCCCTGTGTAACCCAAAACGAAGAATTGTGTGAGGAATCAGTGAGCTGATTAATGACACACCCCGTCTGAAAACAATCTGCTCTTTTTTCATTTCAAGCAGTTTGCAGTAATTTTTTTATAGAAAGTCACAAAGCACTAGGACAGTAACACCGCCACCTGCCTCTAAATCTCTTTTGTATTCCAGAGGCCGGGTGAGCAAGAAATAATTACAAAAAGTGTTTTGAACAGCTATTCATTTGTCCATCCTTCTGCCCTTGGCTGCTTAACTATCTTTTTTCTTTACAATATGTCTGAATTTATCAAGCAAAAGGCCAGTGATACATTCTTTTTCCCATTTAAAATAATATCAAATTAAAGAGCACTTCAACGCTCAAAAGTATGTTCTTTTGAGCTGTACTTTAGGCCTGTGTACATCTGTGTGTATGATTTGCATGTTTGTTTTATGCTTCTATGTGTGTGTAAGAGGACCCCTGCTGATTAATGTCACTTCACATTGTAATGGAGCGTGCTGAACATGTTCTGATATCTGTAATGTGTTACCAGTCTCAGCTTGATTTTATTGCCATGGTCTAATAGGATATTGCCACGATCACAATTTGGATTAACTTCCATATCACTGCTGTTAAACCAAGTGAGGTTTGGATGTGTGCACACAAATAATAGAGAAGTGAGGATGTCTATCAGGGTGGGCTGCTCTGGTCGATTAATTTCACATTCTGCATCTTCTTCATAACGTGCCTCTTCTATTTGTCACCACAATAGTTTTCATCATAAACAGTTAAAGCTACTTTTTCCTCTCATTGATGCTGCGTTGAGGGAGGAAACATTTTTGACCCTGTGTAAAATAAGGCACTGCTGTCTGAATTTGCTACGGGGGATACTGTACCGGCAACTGCTGTCTTTCATGATTGGCTTGCCTCTGACGCGCACTCAAATACACACACACACACACACACGCACGCACACACACACACACGCGCACACACACACACACACACACACACACACACACACA